CTCCATACTGGCTGAGCTCTACTGGCCAGTGCATTGGGAGTCAAAGAGCTCTCCATTTGCATGGTATAGGAGAGAACTGTTCCCCCCCACCCATATTTAGACTAGCAATGCACATGTTCTACCTAATGGAATAGGGGATTAATATATTTCCCCATCAATCCCTTTTGAGGATGCAGAGGGTAAGTACTAACCTTGCTCATATTTAACTCTTATGTGGTCTACTGTCACTAGCAAGATTCTTTCATTATTGTTTCTCCTTACATTTCAGAGTGAAGATGTTTTTGCAATTTCCTAAGACTGATCAGCAAGTCTGCCACTGCTGGTCCAGACCATTTCTCTGCCAGAGATGACACTACTTTGGAACCTTCCAGGCACAATTGCCACATCATTTTTCTCAGAATGTCCTTGTCATGGACTAGGGCTGGGACAGGCAAGGAGCTCAGCCTGCCTTGGTGGTGATACAGCCTGCTGGCCAGGAGACACTTAGCACCAAATATAAGGTGATATCTCTGACCTATGGATTTCCTGCTTCAGTTCTTTTGTGCTATCAAGGACAGCCAGAGATATATTTTAGATAAATAGGATTTATTAATCAGTCATGAAATAATGGATAGACAGAGCAATTAGACATGGATCCCTTAGATCAGGGCTGGGCAAAATACGATCTAGCCCGCCAAGCCACCGGACCCAGCCCACAGACCCTCAGGCACATGCAGCTGCTGCAGTTTAAAACACAGTCCCTACCCTCACTCCCTCTCTGACCCTACACCTCAATCCCCTGACCTAGGTCACAACCCGCTCCTTCACCCAAACAAAAGGGAGGGGAGGGCAGACGAGGGAAGAGGAGGTTTCGTGCGATCTCCCCACCCCCAGCCCAAGCTTCAGCTCCTATTGGCCAGAAATTACTGGCCAATAAGAACTCAGACAATCTCTTAGCTCCTATTGGCATGGTCTCAGACCCTACCCTGTGTCCTGCACCTCACTCCCTTACCATGTGTGACCTTCAGCACCCAACCTCCAAACTAAACCCTGTACCCCCTCCTCAGAAAAGTGCAGCCCTTGACCACTTACCAAAATCTTGGAGTGGCCTCCTTACCAAAAATTATTGCCCACACCTGCCTTAGATCAAAGATCAAGAAGTGGCCAGCCCTGCGAGATGCTGAGTACATTAAATGGAGTGATGAGTGTCCTCATCTCCTATTGCAATCCAGGTGCTCATTATCTTTCAGACTTGAGCTCTTAGTCCCTAAAGAAATAGATAAGTTCATGAAGGATAGGTCTGTCAATGGTTACTAGCCAGGATGGGCAAGGAGGACATTCCCATATTTTGTTTGCCAGAAGCTGGGATTGGGTGACAGAGGATGACAAGTGCAACTCCCTCCCAGATGATGTACCGCCTCCTACACCCCTCCCCTAGATCAGAATCCTCTCCTGCACCCTCACTCCCTCTCTGACCCTACACCTCAATCCCCTGACCTAGGTCACAACCCGCTCCTTCACCCAAACATGGTCTCAGACCCTACCCTGTGTCCTGCACCTCACTCCCTTACCATGTGTGACCTTCAGCACCCAACCTCCAAACTAAACCCTGTACCCCCTCCTCAGAAAAGTGCAGCCCTTGACCACTTACCAAAATCTTGGAGTGGCCTCCTTACCAAAAATTATTGCCCACACCTGCCTTAGATCAAAGATCAAGAAGTGGCCAGCCCTGCGAGATGCTGAGTACATTAAATGGAGTGATGAGTGTCCTCATCTCCTATTGCAATCCAGGTGCTCATTATCTTTCAGACTTGAGCTCTTAGTCCCTAAAGAAATAGATAAGTTCATGAAGGATAGGTCTGTCAATGGTTACTAGCCAGGATGGGCAAGGAGGACATTCCCATATTTTGTTTGCCAGAAGCTGGGATTGGGTGACAGAGGATGGGTTACTTGACGATTACCTGTTCTGTTCATTTTCTGTTGGCCATTGCCAGAAGACAGCTTACTGGGCTAGACGGACCTTTGGTCTGATCCAGTATGTCCATTCTTATACAGGCAGTCCCCGAGTTATATGGATCCGACTTACGTCAGATCTGCAGTTATGAACGGGGTTTGCTCCGCATCTCCCTAGTCTGCTGGAGACCAGCAGACCAGGGAGACGGGGTTACTTGACGATTACCTGTTCTGTTCATTTTCTGTTGGCCATTGCCAGAAGACAGCTTACTGGGCTAGACGGACCTTTGGTCTGATCCAGTATGTCCATTCTTATACAGGCAGTCCCCGAGTTATATGGATCCGACTTACGTCAGATCTGCAGTTATGAACGGGGTTTGCTCCGCATCTCCCTAGTCTGCTGGAGACCAGCAGACCAGGGAGACGGGGGACACCGGCAGCGGGACAGCCGTGGCGCGTCTGGGCTGTCCCACTGCCCGCGTGCTCCGCGGCTTTGCTCCGCGTCTCCCTGGTCTGCGAAGACGCGGAGCAAAGCCATGGAGCACACGGGCAGCGGGACAGCCCAGACGCGCCGCGGCTGTCCCACTGCCGGTGTCCTCAGAGGCTTTGCTCCCCGGACTCCAGTTCCGACTTACATACAGATTCAACTTAAGAACAAACCTATAGTCCCTATCTTGTACGTAACCCGGGGACTGCCTGTATTCTTATATTGATTTGGAGTAAAAAAACCTAAATGGAACTCAAGTCTCATTCCTAAATTCCTTTTATAAATGGGTCTTAAGCTCCTAAATTAATTAGGCACTTCTGAAAATTGTATCCTCAAGGCAAATCTACACTACAGTCCTTCATCAGTGAAGCTTCACTAATGAAGCTGTCCAGCTGTAGCACCTCTGGTGAAGACACACTGTGCCAATAGGAGAGTGCTCATCTATTGGCATAATTACTCCACCTCAGCTAGAAGCATCTCCTGACAACATAGCACTAATGTGCATAGTTGGGTGGGGGTGCTTGGGTGAGGGGTGCTCTTTTCACACCTTTGAGCATGGTAAGTTAGATCAAATTAATGAGTGGTGCTGTATTCCCCTTTGTCTTTTTACAGCATAATGTGAGACGTGTCTCCTTTTTCAGACTTTTTCTACTAATTAAAGGAGTTGGAATCCTTTAGCAATTAGTCTCTTGGCTACTATTCCTCTGATTCACAGATTTAAGGGACTATCATACAGCAATCATAGAATTTCACCAGAAAATTTTACATTAAGCCATAATTTCTGGTTAAAAGTTTACATAACTAACACTGGGAACTTAACTAAGGATCTCCAGTAATAAAAGGATCAATTCAGCCTATACAACTAAAGCTGAAAAGCCAGATTCTGATGATGGCCTTCTTTAAGAAACAATGAGGAGCTTTCTAGCACCTTAGGGAATGTCTACATTAGGAAATTATTTTGAAATAACTCCCGAAATAACTATTTTGAAAGAGCTCATCCATATTACAAGGCAAGATCTAAATAGCCTAACCGCTTCCTGAGGCTAGATGAGACGTGCTTAAAAGGGCTCCTCTCTGCAGCCATGTCTCACACGCCACTTCCCCACTGTCTCCCCCCTCGTGGGACACCAAACTCATGCCATGTGCTCTGGTTGCTCTTGCGGATGCCACAGTACTGACATCATGGACCTGGAGCAGTACCAGGCTCACGGGCCTGGTGCTGCACTTCATGGCGCAGTTGATCCACACTGCCTGCATGGTGATCCAGGACCACAATGACCAGCTGGTACTGGGGGACCTCTTCAGCCAGGCCCTGGCACTCCTGATGCACCAAATGATCTATAATCCTCTGAACACTGTGGAACATCGCTTCTGGTGGAGGAAGACCAGTTCCGTGGGACAGCATCATCCTGCAGTGATGGGATGACCAGCAGTGGCTCCAGAACGTCCGCACATGGAAGGCCACCTTCCTGGATCTCTGCAAGTGGCTTTCCCCTGCCCTTAGGCGATGGGACACCTGTATGTGATCCGCTATCCCCCTGTAGAAGAACATTGATATCGCCCTGTGGAAGCTCGCCATGCTGGACAGTTACTATTACACATGGAACCAGTTTTGTATGGGGAAATCCATGGTCAAGGTCATACTCATGCAGGTAGCCAAGGCTATCAACACTATATTGCTGTGTAGAATCATCCCGCTGGGTAACGCTGACCCAATCATCTCTGGCTCTGCTGCTATTGGCTTCCCCTACTGCAGGGGGGCCATAGACAGCACCCAGATCCACCCAGATCCTGGCCTCTGACCCCCATTCCTTGGACTACATCAGTAGAAAAGGGTACTTTTCAATGGTGCTGCAGGCCATGGTGGACCTCAAGGGCCAATTCACAGACCTAAATGTTGGTTGGTCATAGAAGGTTCATGATGACCACATATTCTGAAACTTGAGCTTTTTCCAGAGGATGCACGCTGGCATTTTTTCCCCCTCAATCACACCATCAGGGTCAGAGACATGGACATGCCCATGTGCATCCTGGGCGATGCAGCTTATGCCTTGTTCCCCTGGCTGATGAAGCCTTATGCGGGCAGCCTAGACTCCACTAAAGAATACTTCAATACTAGGCTCAGCAGGTGCCGCATATTGGTTAGGTGTGGCTTCAGCTGCCTATAGGGGAGGTTCAGAAATCTCCTCACCTGCCTGGACCTCAGTGATTGGAATATCCCCTATGTGGTGGCAGCCTGCTGTGAGCTGAACAACATATATGAGAGGAAGGGGACACTTTCTGGCCAGCATGGGGGGCAGAGACTGACTGGCTGGCTAGGGCTTACGAGCAGCCAGACAACAGTGCCATTGGGCAAGCACATCCAGAAGGCCTTGAGGGAGAGTTTCAGCCAAGGCCACCAGTGAGACTATCCCCTGGGCCTCTCCACAAGGGGCCCCTTCATTGCCTCTGTGTGCCTTTCCTCCCCTACCCCTTCTTTTCCCTGCCCTTCCTTCTCCCCATTCCCTGAAGATCAAACAAATAAGTCTTTTTGTTTAGAAGACTTTCGGTTTTTTTACTGGGGGTTATACAACAGGGGAGGGACTGGGGAAAGAACCCAGAATGGGGGAGCAGGGGAGAGGAATGGGAAGGGGGCCTCAGGGACAGAGCTGGGACTGGCACCTGCCTCAGGTATCTTGGGAGATTTCGGCTACCTGTGAGGGGCTAGGAGGAGAAACCAGGGAGCGGGCGTGGGTGCAGGGGAGTTGGGCAAGTAGTTGGGGGCAGGTAGTTGGGCAGAGAGTTGGTGGGGAAGGGACAGGAAGGTGTCTGGTGGCCCACTCCATAAAAGAGGTCATGACTGATGTTACTAAGGAGTACATAGCATCATGCTGGCATGACAGCTGCTCCCACATGTCCTTCCTCTTCTCCTGGTCAGCCTGGTGCTCCTTGTGGTCAGCAGCCCGCTCTCAGTACTCCATATCGAAACCCTGGATGAGGAACTGTTCCTCTGGTGGATCTCACAGCATCAGGAAGATGGTGGTGGACTTGCCACACTCATAGCTGGCCCAGCTGTGAAGAAAAGTGACAAGGGCAGTCATCCCAGGAGACACTATGCATGAATCCTAGCCCTAATCTCTGAGCCAACACCAAAGGCCTCGGTTTAGACAATGGCAATGTGCTTCTAGTAAGGCCATCTGTTGCCTACATAGTGGGCACTTTCCTGCAGGGGCACGGATGTCTCAGGGGAGCATCACTACCCCCACATTCCAAGGACAAGAAGGCACGGGCGGGATGGGGACTAGCAACTTGGCTTCCTTCTGAAGGGTGCGTGTGTGTTGGGGGAGGTGTGTGTGAGTAGCAGAAGCCACTTGACAGAGACACTACTACTGAGTTCCCCTCCTCTTTGTCCAGAGTCCTGGTGTGCCCTTTCTCTGCCAGTCTAGCAGCCATCTGGCCATAGACATCGGCATTGTTCTTCTTGGTGCAGAGATCCTGGACGTTGGCCTCCTCCCCAGCCCTCAATGAGATCCAGGATCACCGCACCAGCCCAGGCTTGTGCTCTCTTTCACCCCTAGCTGGGGGCATCAGAGGGTGCTGGCAGCCGAGGGGGGCAGAGAGCAAGTGCTGGAGTCACTCATGGCTCCACTCAAGGGTGCTGTGTGGCATGGGCTAGCAGGGCTCTCCTAGTGCCACAAGCCCTTTCCCTTCTCCTTGCAGCTTTAAAGTCTGCAGGAGAAGGGGAGCAGTAGAGTTGTCAGGTGTGTGGCCAGAGCAGCCACAAGTGCAGCTATGAGAGGCCTCTGGAGGCCAATTATTTTGAAATTGCAGCAGCTGATCATCCACACTTACGCTATTTTGAAATAACAGTTTTGGAATAAGCGTTATTCCTCATGACAAACAGGAGTTACTATTTTGAAATGACAAGCCCATTATTTCAAAATAATGGGCTTGGTACTGTGCACACTTCACTTGTTTTTTTCGAAATAAGGGGGAGTTATCTCAAAATAGTATAGACCAGGGCTTATTAGACCATGAGCTTTTGTGGGTAAACCCCACTTCATTAGATTCCACTAAATTAGATGAAGTGGAGTTTACCCACAAAAGCCCATGGCCTAAAATATTTGTTAGTTTCTAAGGTGGGCTACTTGTTGTTTTTAAAGATACAAACTAACATGCTTACCCCTCTGAGACTTCCTTAAGAAAGTTCATTTGACCCTTTTGACAGAGTGCAGCATACAGCTTCCCTTTCTGAAAGCACTGTATTGCAGCAGTTCTAATCATCTGC